ACGTATGGAAGATATGTAATCCAGTGAAATAAATTTAAAAAGAGAAAAAAAGGTCCTGAGCTCATGAGGTCATGAGAGAGAAGACAAAGAATGGATGCATCTGCGTCATTACAAACGGTTTCGAGTCATATCAGTTCTTTTGATAAAATTCTAATTCAAAAAAACTGTTTCAACAAAAAGAAGTATGCATCAGATAAAATAAAGCAGTGCTTGGGAGATCATAAGATTATTCAGTTTCCGTAAATGATGCTAAATGTCAGTGGTAGAATGTAAAGATTGTTGAATTTCATTGAAATCATAGACTAGTTTAAGTTAGACAACAATTGGAAGTTTAAAAGTGGAGGACGGTCATTTTCTCTTAGTATGGGATTATTTAACAGTGCACATCCACGACTCTGTGACTAACAATTGAACGTAGGATCCTCAGTCTCGTACTGAAACGCTTGACCTCTGGATTCTGGAATAAATGTTTGCCAATAGTTTGAAATGAAGCTTTTTCGATTTTACTAAGTGCACACTAGGTACCCATGAAACCGGTTAAAGTCCTGCCCAGAAATTTCGTTCTTTTCCCCTCTCAATTCGGCTTTCTGAAGGACACCCTCGACACGAAAAGGCGGTGAATAAAACTTCTCTGATAGTAGGCTAATCAATATTCATTGGAATCATGAATCGATCAATACTAGACCATTATTAGAAACCTGGAAGTATTAGATGGCCGTTTCGTCCTCGTGTGGAACTCATCATCAGTGTGGATCCACGAATCCGCTGGAACCGAACACAGGACCTTCGGTCTCGTGAGAGAACGCTTAACCTCTAGGCCGCTGAGCCGGCATCCAAGAGTGTTAATGTGTACCTTCAACTAGTCCATGGTCTTGTGAATCCTCATCTATTGTCTCCAGTAGGCACTGCTTCTTACCCGACAGGGTTTAACTCCATTGGTCACAACGTCTCGTCAGATCCTCGAGAAATTTCCTAATCTAGCTAGTCACTAGTGAGTACATGATAATTTTCATTATAGGGTTGTGAAGATTGTTCGGTTTCACTGAAATCAGTAGCAGTGCTTCCAACCTTCTTTCTGATGGTTTAACATTGGTCGATTCATTATTTCAATGAAACTCAACAATCTTCACAACCCTATAATAAAAATGCAAATATTCAGCCAAACCCAACTATTTTCCGCCTAACTGACATTCAGTCTTATTTCTTTCAAGCTAATCTATATTCAGCTAGAGTATCCTTTTCTTGTTTGCCTAACAATGTCGACGTTATATACCTTATTTATGTGTTTTGTTTGATGAAAACGCCTTCATATTTATTTTATACTAATTCATACAGATTTGCTCAAGCGCAATTATTTTGTCATTTTGGTTATGCTGTCTTTTTATGCGATTGTCGTGGTTCATCTAATCGTGGCATTAATTTTGATGGTCATATTAAAAATCGATTAGTAAGTGAATCAATAAATGTCAACCTTTATTTTTGATCATTGCCTGAATGGATAAAATAGTTTCAAAATCATTTATAGTAATTAGATAATGATCGGGCTGGCTTTTTGTACCAAGGTTGTTTTTTTACAGGATATGATTGATTACCCCATATACATCCCTCCTTACAAGGGCTTCAGAAGAAGTTGCATATATTACTTACTTGCTTACTTACGCCTTTTACTCCTCAAGGAGCATAGGCCTCCAACCAGCATCCTCTAACCTACTCTGGCCTGGGCCTTCCTTTCCAGTTCTACCCAGTTTCTTTCCATTCTTTTCATATCTGCTTCCGATTCTCGACGTAATGTGTCCTTTGGTCTACCTCTTTTCCCCTAGCCTGGGGGATTCAAAGTGACGATTTACCTGGTGGTGTGTCCTTTCCACTTCCAGTACTTTTCTTATTCACTTGTCAAACGCAATTTCACTCATCGATCATATATGTTTGACCAAATAATATTTAAACTGATAATAACTGTTGCTTTGATTTGTTAGTCCAATTTGTCTATCATGATAACACAGTCGAATTATATTATCTGGTTCTTTTAAGTCGTCCTTTCATATCGTGAAAGTTGGTTATAAGACAGTAAAAATAAAAGTCGCAAACTTAAGATGTCAGAGCAAAATCGTACTGTTCACTCACTGTGCAGAGGTGTGATGACTGTAAAGCGTTTTTTTCAAATACTTTGTATCTACAGCAATGTCACCTTGAAACAAAAAAGAGATTAGAAACAATCAACCCTAGAATGGTACACCTTATATGATTCCACTAATTTGCGTCTTTAACTGTAAAGTTTTTTGAAGTATAAAGCTAGTACATTGAGTGTTATTTCCAAAAATGAAAACTACGTGTCTAATGATTCATAACTTGTTGCACCTTTGTGATCATGCTACTAGGCTGTTGTCACATGGCGAATATTACCCATTTGAATGCTATTCTTCGACTGTAGCTGCTACGTTGTCGTGGAGGTCGGCCATGCCTATCGTGATAACCCAACCGAGGTACGTTGTCTGGAATGTGTGTTCCTGTAGGTTCTATCTTGACAGGTGGGTCGATTGGAGAACGGTAAGACTAACAGCAGCAACTTAAGGTCTGCGGGCGAAGTCGTACTGCTGAATGAAGGGGGATTTAACAACAGTAAGGTGTTTCTCTCAGATAACCAGCATGTGCAGCGATTCTGTCTTCTCAGAACAGAAGGAAGGGGTTAGAAAAGGTTGACCTTAAAAATATAACACCTCATCTTATCCCACTGGTTTCCGTCGATGGCGGTAAAGCTTTTTAAAGAGCTAAACTAACACTTCAAAAGCATGCCATGAAAGGCCGTGTGTGACCGGTCTGAAGCAGTTGTCCGTTGGGCTCTGTGGTCACGCTGCTAGGTCACTCGGACCAACGCTTATCCTGTTTGCGTTTCAGGTTACTCAAGAAGTTCCTTTCCACAATGTGGGCAGCCTGAAAGTGACATTCACCCGCATACTCGTAACAACACACGAGATCGATTCAGTCACAATCGAATCCTTTCTACACTTGATTGGCACAAATATACGTTCGTTCAAGTTCCCACACTACATTAGTATAACGAGGTAAAGTGAACAAGATGATTAGTAATGAGTGTGAAGTTAATAATAGTAGCAATAAGAATTGAAAAAGGACAAAACATTGAGAAAATCGTTTGAGAATACGAAGTGAAAAAGGTATTTATCATGGAATCCTATCACTCATGATTTCGAGTATGCTCAAATAATGAATGTTGCTGCATCAATGTGATGGATTCAGACCTATGTCACTTAGTGTTTCTAACTATTGATTATAGTTATCGCATGGAATCCAACCAACTAGAAGTCTAGAACTCTACCTACACAGTTCCTCCAACCAATTGTCAATCCATCTGTGTATTGTTGCCATATTTTGACATTGTCTTCTCTTATATTTCTTTTCCAAAATATTCCTACACTAGTTAACATCGCTTTTTAAAGATAGGCGGTAGTTTGCATACCTTCAATCTGTGAAGTTTTGACATTTTCTTTTCTTTTCCCACTACCCTTGAAATATTATGCTCTGTTTATCTTCAATAATTTTAGGGTCAGGTAGAACTTGATGATCATGTAGCCTTTTTAAAATATGTTGCTAAAAACACTGGACTTATTGATCTTTCACGTGTTGCTATCATGGGTTATTCTTTTGGTAAGTAGGTTATTTTACAAATATACAACTATGTTTTTCATATGTAAACACTATTTATTGTAAATAATAGTTTGTAATTTCCTATTGTTGAATATTTCGGAATACTAATTGATCAGTTTCCATTGGTGTATTTCCATCATAAGCGGAGTACTACTATGTAGGGATTTATCACACGTTTTATTGGCTATTTGACTGAAACCAATGACTCAGTGGATGGATAACAACATTGAGTGTTCAAGACAAAAGACGCTTGGTTCGAGTCTTGATTTGACGAATAACTGAAGATTCCCAAATGGGATGAAATATATGTTATGAAATCGACTTCCAGCCATATACTAAATTCATTTATTATACTTGTTTAAAATGCTAATCTAATCGGAGAATAATTGTTAAGCATTAAGAAGACTTGTATGAAATTTCACTGAAATGCTGAATTGATCAATATTAAACCACCATTGAAAACCGGGCAGCAGTGGAAAGCCTTTTCGTCCTTGTATTGGACTTATCACACAGGGTACAACCACGACCCCGTTAATGGGAGTCAAATCGAAGGCCATCGATCTTGTATGTGAACGCGTAACCTTTTGACCACTTAGTTGATATCCAATGGTGTTAACATCTAACTTCAATCAATTCATGATATTACGCAACCATTGTCTTCGTTAGGTAACTGCCCCACCCTATCCGTTTGAAATCCTCCTAATCTCGGCTTCTCATTAGAACTCGTTGAATCCTCTTAAAAAGCCAGTTCACTAGTGAGGACAGTTGAATGAATTCCGACTGTTAATATTTTATTTTATCTATCATCGTTACTCCTACTAGTTCACTGATTTTTTTTAAAATTCAGTATTCTATGGAAACATTCTTACCTGGTTATAAATTAAGGAAAAGTTAGAGTGATAAAATGTTCTATTGTCACTCACTTGGAATAAAGTTTTTAAGCTAATCTACCATATTCCATTAAATTTAACAGCATAGTTTACAACTTGGTTTTTTGCATGTTACTAAAGTTGTCGGAATCTCCTTGTTCACAAACCTTAACCTTTGTATTCAAATGGATTCTGTATAGCCGCTTTCGCTACTTTGGCCGTCGATATAGTAGTAAGTGTTTTTTATTTGAACATCGACTAAACAATTTTCGAATTTCTCCAATAAAATTCATTCTTCTTCGGTGACACTATGGATCTCTTCCAGTTGTATTATATTTTTTTAATGGAGATAATGACGATGATGCTGGTGCTGCTGCTAATGATGATAAACTCCACTTTGTTATGTTCATTAGGCGGTTATATGTCACTTATGGCTGCAATGCGTTATCATGATGTATATAAAGCTGCTATAGCAATTTCTGCAGTAGTCGATTGGAAGTTATATGATACTGCGTATACAGAACGATATATTGGTTTACCGAAAGATAATCCAGATGCTTATCGGTAGGTTTATTTTCATCTCATTTTATATTTAGGCTGTATTTGTCTGTGATTGATCACAATTAAGGTACTGTTGAACACTAGGGAGTACTAAATAGACAGCTGTTGCATCTTAGTGCAAAAACCTAAGACATGACCGAAGATTAAATCTAAGACCTTCAAATTTCAAACCCAACACCTGGTCTCTAAAGCCATTGCACAACAGTCATTCAATTCTATTGCGGCATCGTTTCTACTCCCTGTGCGTCTGAACCCCATCAGTCACAATTCGACATTAGAACTTTGTGAATATTTTGTAATAAGCCACTAATGAGGTGGTTGTTATGCTTTAGTACTAAGCATTTGCAAAGATTGACTGAACTATTATGTTGGCTTCCAAACGACGTGGTATGGATGAGTGTGGGGAGAGTGTATCCCCTCTCTCCAAAAGCTGTCTTATGGTCACTCATATACAACTACTATCAGAGAAGTCTTATTCATTGCCTTCTCGTGTCGAGGGTGTTCTTCAGAAAACCAAATTGAGAGGGAGAAAAGTAATTTGCCGGGCAGGACTTTAACAGGTTTTATGGGTTCTGGGTATACACCTAGGAGAGTTGGTAAATCGTCATTTTAAACTACTACTGCACATAGGTTCCAGGATCGTGAAGACAGAAATGAAGTATGAATCTATTATTGGTTACCGGATACTATGGGACTGTACTTCTTAACAATGTTCCAATACGTTTTGGCTTAGACCTTTGGGTGAAAGATTGGAGAGTGGTTGCCAAAGAAAACCATCTGGTTCGGTTTGGTCATCCCAACAGTGCTCCATCCCATACTCAGGTTCAATGATTTGTGCCCCTTTTGTATCAATAATTACGCATTTAAATAAATGAATATCATATTTTGTATTATTGATTGCTGTTAATGTAGTAGAATTTAGAAATTTATAGTCTTCCAAATGCTTGAAATCAATAGAAATCTCTATCATGAAACGGATAAGTGAATTGAAGATGGTACACAAGTTTACTTTTCAAACAAACCGTATGTTCAAATCAGTCAGTCAGTCAGTCAATTGCAACGTAGAACTTCGTACATATGTACATAAGTTCATGTTACCATACCACATTAGCACAGAGACGCAAATGTCAAATCAAGTCCCATAAAGATAAAGATAGTAGAGTTATTAATGGTAATGAAGAAGATTAAGGTTTGAAGATATTATTCAAGAAGTATAATTCAGTGAGATAAAGTTCAAATACTTGTTGTGATTTCATTGGGTTGTCATAAATGTTTTGATGAAGCTCTCTATATAACATTCTTCCTTTCTTATTCCTAATACTAAATCTCATCTATAAAGTCCTGTAAGTTTATAATAAATAGAAGAATTTAGAAAAAAAATCTGTATCATAGCTGATGTCAATTCGTGATTATAATCTTAATCCTAATTCGAAATACATACAAAATTCAAAACTCTGGCTTAACTATTTTTTTTGTCATAGCGAGTTTCAGTTGGGTGTTTTCATAAGTGGTGAACTTAACCTTTCCTTTTTCTTCAACAAAGAATAATAATTCAACAACAACAGTTAAGATTTGATTATTCAGATCAATACTGTTCTTCCAATGATATATGATGATGCCGTCTTATCATTGTGAATTGTTCTATAACTGTTAGTGGAACATGGATGGAATTAAAGCATGACTACGTAGCTACGCGCTGATTGGCTAATTTCCTATCCAATCAGCGCCTGATCGATTCTTGGCGAACAGGTAGAAAATTCTCGTATTGTTAGCTGTGTACTGATTGGTTAAATCTAATCCATTCGATCACGTGGATTTCTATCCAGAAGCTTCTCATGTAAATGCTATAAATAAACTAACGTTGTATCTATTTTTGCCTTCGCCATCACCCTTGGCTTCTTATTTCCATTTAACCTTGCTATTTGGAATATAATCTTTTCCTGTTCAACCGTGTTTTTGATTCTTGGGAACTTGTCCAGTATATTGTGGTCAGAGAATACTAAGCAATAGGATTTAGCTAGGAAATATTTAAGCAAGCATTACAACAATAACTTTGACCAACGTTTCTTGATTGACAAATATAGTCACTGTAGTATACTTCTTTCAATAATTCTTTTTACAGAATAATTCTATAAAAATTTCACTTCATTACTCTCTTCTAAATCCTTTTCCTTCTTTTCTAGTTATGTATATTTTACACTGTTATTTGTTTTTTTTCTTATTTTAATTTTATTCTTTACTTAGTAAAGGCAATGTTATGGAGTATGTATACAATATGCCATCGGATCAATATCATTTATTTATATTTCATGGTGGACAAGATGAAAATGTTCATTTCTCACATACATCAACATTAATTGAAAAATTAGAAGCTTGTGGTAAACCACATCATTTTCAGGTAAATATGTAATGAATGAATGAATGCATTCACTTATATATAAGTTAGTTTGTATTAGATAAAAGTCACTTCCATCTGAACTTTGTCCTGATGATTTTGTTCAGAAGAACAATGAAAGCTTCACAATCGAAATGTCTAGCTCAGAGAACGAAACATCACCACAAAAGTCATAGGCATTTATATTGTTGATGTAAATCTTAACATAAGTATAAAATATCTATTCATTAATTGAAAAACGTATGTTGTGATCGTTTAGATTTCATCAAAATCTTGGTTGTTTGTAGAGTTTTTGTTTGATAAGATTAACACATTAGTCTACTTTCACTGGGTCATTTTTCCCTTAAAGCTACTAAGGTATTATATAGTTGGAAAAATGAAAGTTTCGCTATGTACTGACATGAATAAAAGGGAACCTCAGTGTGTTTGAGGTTCTTTTTTGTTTTTGTTTTTCAAACTGGGCTACATCGCTTACTACCCTTACATCGTACAGGCATAGGTCATGAGGTATATTGTTATGTACAGCTGAAGGTTTCCTATGAAATTGTTAGTCTCATTTATCCCTGGACGCCTAACTAGAGCTCGTCAAGAGCAGACTAGAGAAAAACAGGCTGGTTTCAGATCTGGACGTGGCTGTACAGACCATATTTTTACACTACGACAGGTCATGGAACAGAGACACACATATAGGCGTCCGACAATAGTCGTGCTCCTGAACCTAAAGGCGGCATTTGACTCAGTGGATCGTGAGGTTCTATGGCAGTGTCTGTCACTGAAAGGTTTACCAGAGAAGGACATTAACCTTATACAAGCTCTCTACTCGAACACCACTGGTCAAGTCAGGGCTTATGGCGAACTGTCACCGCAATTCATTACTTCAAGTTGTGTCCGCCAGGGATGTTCACTTTCTCCATTCTTGTTCAATTTTATCATAGACATGCTCCTAGACATAACATTATCCTCGTCTGAATTTTCTGGAGTAGACCTTCTACCCGGAGATTCATTGGTTGATTTAGAATATGCCGATGACATAGTCCTACTTGGTGAAGACGCCGACAAAATGCAGAGTCTTCTGACTACCCTAAGCAACAATGCAAGCATGTTTGGAATGCGGTTTTCCCCCTCGAAATGCAAAATGTTGCTTCAAGATTGGGTTTCATCGGCACCTGAACTAGTGAAGTAGTCGAACGTGTAGACCGCTTCACTTATCTTGGTAGTCTCATCAGTGCCGATGGCCTGGTGACTGACGAAATCTCAGCACGGATACAGAAGGCTCGATTGGTTTTTGCCAACCTACGTCACTTATGGCATAGACGAGATATCCGTTTGCTGACTAAAGGACCAGTGTACTGCGCTGTAGTTCTCGCCATCCTACTTTATGGCTGTGAAGCATGGCTAGTCAGGATAGAAGATATTCGTAAGTTGCTTGTTTTCGATCATAGGTGTCTCCAAAGCATTGCTCATGTATTATGGAACAACAGAGTAAGCAATGCTGTTATTAGGAAATATAATATAATATAGAAAAGCCATAAAGTAAAGTCTCATAAAAAATTTTGGTAGTCAAGGTTCTAAAGAAAAACCAACACATGAATTCATTTACATCATTATAAATAGTGCAGAGTTTTTTATATTATCATTTAAAATTTCAAAACTTTTAATTATTGATAATCATTTCATTTTGATTTATATAATCTTATTTCTATTTTTATTGTATTACTTTTAAATATATATAAATATATATGGTTCAATAATCATTGCGTCTTTTTTTTTTAACACCTCATTTTTTTAACAGTATTATCCAAATTCTCGACATCGTTTAAAGCATCAATCACATGTTGAAGCAACAGTTTTAAATTTTCTTGAAGAAACTTTGCATAAATCAAATTAATTGAAATATCTTTGATAAATAATGTACAATCTCGATTTGAGAAAAAAGAATATTTATCTCTCCTCCTGTGTTCATGTATAATTTACCATAATGATGATTATTATTTTTGTATGATTGTGTATGCATAGATGTTGTACATTTCTGTGGCAACTGAGATCTGAATGTGTATTATGCGCTTAACACCTCAAATTGATTATTCAATTAAGAAGACAAGAGTTAATTATTCTTCTCGATATATATATATATATATATATATATTTCCTTAGAAAAGAAATCGCTTTCTTGACCAATCATATGCATTCATCCTCTAGGTCATTTCTGATTGTTATCAAATGACCTTTTCATTTGCTCATTTTTGATTGGTCCACCATGTGTTTTTGCAACACTTAACTGTGTTCTGTGTATTTTATTCACATATTCATTGCTTGGAAAAAAAACGCTCCATCTCATCTACACCTTAGTAATTGATAGAATTATTACATCTGCTTTATTTTATTTTCGCACTGTCTACTTTACTTTCTATCAATAATCTAAGATAGTATTTTGGATAAATGTAAAGATGTTTACTTGATAAGTCTTTTTTTTACTGACATACCACATATACTACACTACTGTTATAAGGATTTGTATACATATTTATGTATTTAATGTGAGTAAATAATCAATTCAATACTATTTGACTTTATTTTCTTCAATGATTTCCTTATGTACATACATTTTTATTCATCTTTTTCTTATCAACAATGTAAACTTATAATTATTATTATAAATAATTTGAAAATCTAATTTCTTGTCATTGAAATCATGAAGTGATCATTGTTGGTGTTATCATTAGAAACTTGGAATTACTGGACGGCCATTTCACCTATAACAGTGCATGACCTCACTGGTAGGACTCGAGCGCATGACCTTCGATAGATGTAGATGTACACTGTTGATAAAATACGCACCGAGAAAAATTACCCCTAAACATCTTGATACACTCAATGGCAGGAAAAGACTGCTTTTCCTGTTGAAGCATTCCCGTAGCCACAGGTTTATAGCCATGATCAGGGAATTCCTACTCACTGCGTTTATATAAGGAGACACGTTTATTACGAAAGTGGATACAAAGAGTTTATGTAAGGGATATGAGAAATCCTTATTCTAAATTAGTAAAGGTCAAGTCAGATTTTCGATTTTTCGAAGTTGGAGGGTGTATTAACCTAATTGCGGTTATTGCCTACCGTCGTGAGGTTGCATCTCATAATGTTACTGCCTTGTACATTAGACCTCTAAGTAAAAGGCTTGAGCAATGGCTCTTTTAAGAAAATCATTTGTTTTGATCTAGGTGGATGGACAATATCTCAGGTCATAGACAAGTTTTATGATAACTACAACCGAAGGAAATATGTAGGGTATATGTTTTATTCTAATGCATATTTGTATCAATATTTTTTAAATTATATTTGTATTATCTATTCTAAAATGGAACAATAACTACACTTTAAATATTTATTTCTTGCTCCTATCTTCTCATTATATCGATCAAGTAGTATAACATCGAAATTGGTACGTACATACATCAATTCAGGTCCCCATACCACATAAACACAAAGAGATCGGATTGTCGATCCCAACCGCATAGTTGTAGAGGTAGTAACAGTAAATGAAAAGGTTACGGTTTGAAGATGTGATTCAAGTGCGAACCAGTGAAATAAATTTAGAAAGAGAAAAAAGGCCTTATTGAGCAGTTGAGATAAGAATTTGAGAGAAGACAAAGAATGAATGAGTCCGCACCATTGCAAACGATTTTGAGTCATGCCATTCAAAGCCTCTAACCACTGGTTATAATTGCCTCACGGACCCAAACTAGATAGTCGTCACCTATTAACATGGCACAATCCAGTAGTTAGATACTTCATGGATTTCTGCCATGTTTTTGTCTGGTCGCCACTAGGTTTCTCCCAACCTACTTCTACCCCACAAAACAATTCGTCGAGGCAGTCGGTGGTTCGACATATATAACCGTCTCAACTGATTAAGATTTATTCCATTATCAATTGATTCGCCATTCTTCCTAACGACTGCATTGTTTACTGATTTGTACTAGGATATACGAATACTGTTTCTATGACACCTATGATCGGAAACCAGTAACATTCTCTAGCTGGCCATGTTTCACAACCATAAAGTAGGACGAAGCGAATTGATGCGCCATAAATCCGTCCTTTGGTTGGAAAGATTATGTCATAAAAACTATTTAAACAAATTCCCGCCTCTCTAAAAAAAAACAATCGTAAACTTTATAAACTTTTGTTTTACTAAAAAATATCTAAGAAATTTTGTTTGATTGAAAAAAAAAGTTTAATCTCTCTTTTCATCATCATCATCATCATCACTGCTACTGTCAGTATTATTCAATTGTGATTGTTCTCTGGTTTCTACTAATTCGATTAATTCTTTTTCTAATTCATTTGGATGTTGAAATAAATGTTTTGGTGTTGAATCAATATGAATTGTTTGTGAACAGAAAGCCTATAGAAAAAGGAAAGTGAAGTACATAGAGAGTTGTATTTTTAACAAAATGATGAAGAATGGTGTTTTAGTTATTTGAAGCAGTCAATCAATAGGATTTTTTCATTAGAGAGTTATGGAGATGGTTGTTGGTTATTGAAATTATGAATCAGTCATTTTTAGGCCACTATTACAAACCTGAAATTACTGGACGGCCGTTTCGTCTTGGCATCGGATTCATTAGCAATGCGTGCCCAACGAGTCCCGCTACTTGCTCTATCTGAGCCCAGGTCTTTCTGACTTGCCGGCATTTAACAGTGTGAATATCTGACTCTGATTAGCCCAAGGATTTTGCACGACTTCATCCGTTTGCTGCTGTTGATTCCCATACCAGGTCGAAATTACCGTTCTGTCTCTACAGGTTTCTAATGGTGGTCTAACAATGATTGATTCACGATTTCAGTAGTAATCAATAGGATGCCTAGTTCGTCTTAGTTCACTGCTCTAGGGAACATTTCTCGTTAGCAAGGGATGAGTTAAAGCATACCATTGATCTTGAAGAAAAGTATCACTTTAGTCGGATTTAAATTAATTTCGCCCTAATGTTACAGTTTGAGGCGGTACTATAGTGCTATTTAAGTTTCATCTGGTTATCTATTGGACTGAAAGGGTAAAAGTTTTAGTTTTTATCACTTCTGAACGAATTCTGTTGATCACGTTACTTACGCCTGTTACGCCGCTGACCAACATTGTCCAACCTACTACGTCCTAGGCCTTCCTTTCCGGTTCTAGCTAATTATTGTTAATTCTTCTCACATCTTTCTCCATTTTTTGGCGTAATGTGTAGTTTAGTCTACCCCTTGTCGTCTGACCTTGAGGATTCCAGGTGAAGACTTGTCTTGTGACGCAGTTAAGTACATTCCTCAATGTATGTCCTACCCATTTCCAGCGATTCTTCCTGATTTTTTCGTCTGCTGGAATCTGGTCTCCCACAGTAGGTTGGTACCGATAGTGTCTGGCCAGCGAATCTGAAGTATTTTGCCTAGACAACTGTTGATGAATACTTGAATCTTCTGGGTGATGTCTTTCTTAGTTCTCCAAATTTCTGCCCATGCAGTAGAACTGTCTTGACATTTGTATTGAAAATTCTGAATGTTATTTTGAGTGCCAGATGTCCTTCAGTTGTAGAAATACAGCATTTGCTTTTTAGATCCGTGCCTTCACATCTTGGTTGATGCATGTTGTGTCGTACCGGAGAAGCCGGCTATTTCCTTTGTTTGTTTTGAGACCTGCTGCCACATTGGTCTTCTCTTGTATTTCTATTGCATATGCGATACTAGAGCCATGCATTCTGTGCATTCCTCCGGCTGCATCCTAGTTGTCCACTGTATCCTATGCTTCACCCATCAGATGTCAACATCTTCATAATCCAGTCGATCAGCAGGAGAAAAACAAAGGGTGAGAGTAAGCAACCTTGTCTGACACCGGTTTTTACATCGAACAAGTCTATGAGCTGTCCTCCTTACACGATTCTGCAGTTTATTCCATCAAGAGAATTCCGTATGATGTTGACTATTCACTCACTCGAAGAAACCTCCATAGTGTTTTCCTGTCCAGGCTGTCGAATACTTTCTCGTATTCAATGAAGTTGATGTAGACTCTCTCTCAATGAACTGTAATGCTTCAGTTTGATTGTTACACGATCAATCCTTACGAGATCCAGCCTGTTGATCTGTAAGTTAGGCGTCTGCGAAGTCTTTCATTCTGTTTAACGACATCCTGTTGAAGACTGACTGTTTTTGAGAGAAAAGTGATACCTCTGTAGTTCTCACACTTGCCAAGATATCTTTTGTTTGGTATCCTGATGAGTTGTCCTTCTTTCCAGTCTGTTGGCACTTGTTTCTCATCCCAAATCTTGTTGAAGAAAATGTGGAGTATTTTTGCAGTTGCTGCCAAGTCTGGTTTAATTGCTTCAGCTGGAATGTTGTCTGGTCATGCGGCCTGCCGCTCTTGATATGTCTGATGGACAGGCTGACCCCTTCGATTGTAGGTGGGCCAACATCAATTTGGAGGTCCGTGGTTGCTGTTTCGATATTGGGTGAGTTCAGTGGGTCTGGTCGATTCAGGGGTTCGTTAAAGTGCTCTACCCACCTGTTACGCTGTTCTTCAATGTTGCTGATTACTTTGCCTTTCTTGCTTTTCACTGGTGGTTCTGGTTTACGATAGTTTCCAGCGAGCTTTTTTGTTGTATCGTACCCCTGTCTCAAGTTTCCTCCTCTTGCAACTTTTTCCGCCGTCAAAGCTATATCTTCCACATATTTACGTTTGTTGGCTTTGATGCTCCTCTTCACATGCTTGTTTGATCCTATGTATTCAGCTTGTGGTTTGGCTTTCTTTACTCTTGTTTGGCTGACATTGATTGCCGCCTTCCAGTTCCTCCTTTCTTCAATTTTTCCAAGAGTACCAACAAAGATTCATTCTTTCTAGTGGTACATCTTGTGGCCTAGAACCTCATGACTTGTTGAAGTGATTGCCTGCTTGATCCCATTCCAATTGTTCTTCATGGTAGTTTGCTCTCCATTGAGTAGATCGTGCAAGGCCTGGAACCTATTGCTGAGGGCTATCTTCAATTCGTTGAGTTTTACGGTATCCCGAAGAAAGGCCGTATTAAACTTGTGTGATGTTGTCTGCCCCGTTGTTCAGTGTTTCTTGTGTTTTAGTTTCATTTTGGTGACCAGCAAGTAGTTATCTGAGGCAATATCAGATCCTCTCTTGGTTCTCATATCCTCTATGTTCCTTCTGAACTTTTTTCGATACAGATATGGTCGATTTGGTATTGTGTGGTGTGATACGACGCGATCCATATAGCTTTGTCTATGCGTTTGTGTGGGAATATTGTGCGGCCGAAGACCAGTTTGTTGAAAGCATATAGGTCTCACTAATTTTGTTCCTTCCTCCGAGTTCATGTCGTCCCATGTCTTCATATCCGCTGTAGTCCATTCCAACCTTGGCCTTTAGATCTGTGATCAGAATCATCAAGTCCATTGTTGGACATTTCTCGGTGACTAACTGCAGTCTCTCGTAGAACTGATTTTTAACGTCTTCATTGTGATCGTTATTCGGCACAGCTTTGAATGTTGTTCATTGTAATGCTCTCCTCTGTTTTGAAGGATGCTTTGATGATCCTAGGTTTATGAAATTCCCATCCTATCAGTGCAACTCCTTGTGTGTGAGGCATTTTGCTCATGGCCGGAGTATAACAGCAGCAAATGTGCGGAATGCCTCTATAGTGCCTTTCGGTTACAAGCATTATTAGTTGAGGTGGATTGCGACTAGCAGTGTGAAATCCAGGAAGTGCGTTTCGTCCTATTAAGAACTCGCTTGTGGCTGAGTATACCTGCATTTCAGAGTTGGTGTTCCCTCTGGTACTCAAGTTGATTACCGTTCACTTCAAACGTCATAGCTTTATCCACTTAGCTAATTGAGTCCAGATAGCCCTTTGCTTGTGCAGTGAGTCAGTCTTCATAGGACTGATCAGTCGCAGTCCTAAACATCAATCGGAATATTTTAACAACCTCTACAAATGAACAATATCAAATTTCTTTAGTCCTCCGATGTAGATTAAATTCTGTCCATCGATATGTAGTTCGTTCACTGGTTCAAGTGACTCAATATTGAGTTCGGTATGTTTTCATGTCAAGTGGTTGGAAGTAGTCAAACAAGAAAATCTTATCACTTTCAGTTTTATACTAGGTATGTCAGAAGCTTTGAATTAATTGATGCCTCATTTGGAATTCAAATACCAGTCACCTAGTTTCATGATCTAGATTATTACTACAGAGCTATTTGACTCGCTACTCATATACTTCCAATCACCTCCTATCATAAAATGAATAATATATATATGTAGATATTTTTTAAAAAAATTTTCATCCAACTTACTGTCACATTCAATTTATCAATATCTGTTTTATGATATACACTATATCCTTTATCATGACTTTTACATTTACTTAATTGATTTTTGAACTGAACATTTGTATCAGTTGAAGATTTTTTTGAATCATTTAATTGTCCAATACGTGATGCATTAATCAAGGACAATTGTTTCTGATGAGCTTCTTTAAGGTATGCATAATTTGATGTTCTTGCTAAATAGTCATGATAATTTTCCATTGCATATTCATGATTACGTATAATTTTTCTTATCTTGATTGAAATGAAAAGAGATAAAATAATAATGATAACAATAATAATAATAATAATAATAATAATAATAATAATCATTCATTGATTGTACACAGTTGTAGAGCTCACGAGCTCGTGAGTATGATACGGTTGTTATGTTCTTGTGAATGATTAGATCATCACTATTTTGTATTATTCATTGATAAGAGTTGAAGTTTCACTGGCGGATACTATACTAGGAATACTGGTGTTTAAGTTTGTTGGGGACGTTAGATCCCCAGAACTCGTTTGATAAATGCCTTATTTTAAATTTCACGTTTGCGAGCATAAGCTGATCAGCTGACCTTGAGATAACACATTTCCCACTAGCAAAATCCTTGGCTGTGATTGGCTGCTGTGTATTTTAGTGTGCTATTTTTGTGACTGTCTCAAGGACGTTTCTATGATGTATAAAATAAACGCGATTTATGTGCTTGATTGCGTTGTGCTTGCTGGGTGTTTGTAGAATATACTTTCTACGCTTATCAAGACTTCTGTTTTGTAGTTTGGGATTCAAGGTAGCCTACCTGGACGCTGGTAATTGTCTCGTTCATGTTTATCGGCTAAGGTGAACTCGCAATTGCTTCAAACGTACCTAGTGACGAACCTAACAAAGTTCTAGCTATGAGTCCTTGAGATCTTAAGTTCTACCTCTAATGGGATCGTCTATGCGTTCGTCTACTGTTCACTAGTACCATACTAGCATGAAGCAGTTATCCTATGCTTCTTGCTTATCAGAATAGTATCTTGACCAAGGATAGTTCATGATGTGAAACTCTATTTGTCAATAGTTTTTTCTGTATACAAGTGTTTTAACAAAGCGAGTAATGAAAAAAAATTGAACTTTTGAAATTATTTTACATATGTATTACTTTTATTGTATACCTATTAGATAAGTGGATTAGTGGGTGTCTATATTCCATGTATTGTAGAGTTGCTTTGGACTAACTAATTATGACTATACGATTTTGGCATGATATGGAGTGCCGGAGATCTGAACACTATACATACCGATTCCTCGAAACTGGCTATTTGAGCGATAATATATATATATATATATATATCCCACTGGCTTAAAAGGTTAATCCATCTATTAACCAATAATATGTGTTCGACCTTTTGAATGTATCTGATAGCCGTCAAATAGCCTTCTCATTTAGTCATTTCTGATTGGCTCACTATCGCTAACCAGATATTCACCCTTTGTTCCACTTGGTCATTGTATTTTGATCACTGTGCCATTGATAAAATAACAAATTATCGATAGTACAGACAATAATTGGACTAGGCACAACAACTACTCCCTTAAATAACACCCCGATTACGTATGCTCCATCTACATAATTCAAGAATTTTTTCCCTAATTCAAGATAAGCACAAATAAGTGTCTAGAAGAAAAATAAACGATATACTTACTGATGAATAATACTGTTGTTCTTTACGCAGTTCAGCAGCTTGTATAGAATTCAATATTTTTTGCTGTTGACATTGGACATTGACTGTTTGTTTTTTACACCATTCAGATATACATGTTAATAACTCTTGATCTGGTGTAATTGGTCGAATTTGTGAATTAGACAGATCATTTTGTAGATTTGTCCACGTTTCAGCAACCTTAAATAAATGAATACATTTTAGTACAGTTAATCAGTCATTGAAATGATGAATCAGTCATTGTTAGATCACCATCAGAAATCTGGAAGCACTAGATGGCCGTTTCGTCCTAGTATGGGACTCATCAATAGTGCGCATCCACGACCTCCGTTAGCGGGAATCGAATCCAGGACCGTCGATCTCGCGCGCGAACACTTAATCTCTTGACTAGTGATCTGTCATCCAGTGGTGTTAATGTCTAAATCTGATCAATCTAAGTTTACGCGCAACCTCACCAATTGTGTTCGGTAGGTAAGTGCCTACATTCGTTAGTGTTGAACTCCACTTGTCACGTCTTCGAACTGGAACTTCGATAATTTTCTCGCTAGTTTAGTCACTAGTAAGCATATTTAACGATTTTTCATTTAATTTTTATGGAGATCGTTGTTGATTGTTAAAGTCGTGGAGTTCACAACCCTGGTGAGTGTAGGCAGTAATTGCCGAAGATAATAGGTGAGGTTGCGCAAAACCTTAGATTGATCAAAGTTAGACATTAACATCGTTTGATGCCAGTTCAGTGGTCTAGAGGTTGAACGTTCGAGACCAAAGGCCTTAAGTTTGACTCGTGGATGAGGGGCTCGTGTATGCACACTTCTGAAGAGTTTCATTTTTTTGAAGTTTGATAAAATCATGTGTTTATCACTGTTCGAAATTCAAGAATCTTTTTAAAGTCAATACCACTATTCGAAAAAGGAATTATTGTATATTATCATTATTGTTGTTTGAATTTTCCGATTGATGCTGTGGACTGTTATTGATCAGTCTTGTTTGGGATATTTACATTCTCTATGGATTGACTCGTTATTATTATTATTTTAGGCATATTTGAATGGTGGCTGGGAGTGCAATCTAGAATGCTTGTATCGTGCTGTTTGAGACTCGTCAGTTCGATAAATCTGCACACCCCAATGTTGATGGCCAAACCGGTATTGAAAGTCAATTACTGTCTATAGCACCCAAAACAGGGATTAAAACAATTAATATAGATGATTGAAAATTCCTCCTGTTACACATTGGCTAACAACTTTCTGAACTAAATGGATAATGCGTTAGCTCTTTAGAATGCTAGAGAAAAGCAGTCATGGAGAAAACATACCATACTGCTAAACTAGTTATAATTGAAAGGATTAATCCCACATAGGCCTAGACATTTGTTCGAGCGATTACATCTCATTTCATTACATTTATCAGTTTACTTGTTTGTATGGACACAGATACATAGGGAGAAATAATCGGACATTGCCAACTAGGGTTATGGAACATGTTCCTCAATGATATCGAAATCAGTTAATATGAAATGACCCCAAAAATCATGAGAAGTAGACAGCCATGTTTATCAGTAGCAAAACATTTAATCGAAACAGGGATGGATTTTGAAGTTTATAGAAACTTTGGCATATTCATGTCTATCAAAAACAATTCATCGTGACCTTGAATTTAACCTGGTTATCTTGAAGTTATTTTACGATCTAGAGTAATGTGACAAATTCGTATTCTTCCTGTACTTTCTTTAGTTTCTACCTCTTTTATTTACAGTCAGCATATATTTAATTGACCTTTATCAATTTTCATATAAAATGCCTTGACAAGTGTACATATTGGTAACCATGAATCGATCAATGTTAGACTACCATTAGAAACCTGGAAGCACTGGACGGCCGTTTC